ATCGATGCAGGCAAGCCTCTAATTGACACACTGATGGCTTTCTACGCTCTCGTGGCCGTGTTTGATGTCGATTCTACACATCTAGCCGGCACCTTCACTGGCCACCGTGACACGGTCCGTCTCCGACAGGAGCCCCGGAGTCGATGGACTCTAGTGGAGTCCAGAGTCTGGGTGTCACAGCTTGCATCTGCCCCTTACAGAGTGTGGGCAATGCAGTTGCTATTATGATATACAGCGGCTGTATTACAGCCCACTTCAACCATCGCTTCAACGGGTACCCTAAACGACAAAATCACAAATCGATCCAGAAATAGTCCTTTAGTGAATTTTGGAACGATGAATCACGAGTAGACGATTGTTTGAACGACATCGCGCTTGTTTATGAAAGTTAGGAAACGTACCACACATGTCGGACCTTTTCGACAGCCGAAGGAGAATAAGAACCGCCACACACAGCCGTGCTCAACAGTAGCAACAAGTTCCTTGTGTGCATTATGTTGCCAATGTAGGCAATACGTAAGCGGGATCCACGAATTTGGTGATGGCGCTTCATTCATCCGCTTTGAGAGAAATTACGCGGTCTGCAGTGCAGTGTCTTTTCTGCGCGGTTATCGTGTTCGACGGCAAGCGAAAGCGTAATTGTCGCTGTAACTGAGCGAGTGTTCAGGGTCATTAGCTGAAACCTAAATTATGAATTAGACAGCAGTTGTTGACAAGCAGTTGATGACGTTTTTATCACGTTTCCTGCTGGTACTCGAGCGCTAGTTCGCCATCACTTCGCCTTGTTGTTCAACAAATATAAAATTGTTTTTTCAGTTACCAATACTATGAAAGATACAGTACTAAATTCTTTATTGGCAGTAAACGCGATCGACACGCTGGATTTCCTGAATTTTTTACACGTGGGTGAATACTTTAACTATATATGAAGTCCTTGAGGCTTTTTTCTGACTGTGCTGTCCATTAAGTTTACTTTGAAATTCTATTTAAATAAAATATCGACAGTGAATTACCATTTTAAGGCTAACAGAGCAGCAATGTATGCTCCCAAACGGCAATTTATGATGCGGTCTTACATACTGGGACAGGGTGGCAATAGAGGGAGTCAGAACTGAGAAATAGTATGGAAATATGTTGCACGCCAACAAAATGACCAGGCATCTCCTAAAAGATCGCATCGGTCACAATTGAATAGATGATCATAGTTTATTGTTGACTTTCTACCGCATGTTGCCGCCAAGGTCGATGGCG